CCCATTTTCGTGGCTAAAATTAATTATGGCCAAACAAGCAGATTATTTAACAAAAAATAATTTTCTTTTTGATTGGAATTCGATTTCCCACATTTTAGCAAAAAAAAACCTGAACCCTTGACGACTGATGGGTCATAAGGGGTCACTTTTAATTTTGGGGGTTTAATGAAGAAGTTTGAATGCAGTTTTGTTTTTAATATTTATATTGACGAAAAACATCCAGCTAGTTACAAATGCAATTTATCGAGTGGCTAATTTCGAACCACATTGCCAAATTATATTTATTTCAATTGAAAATTAGTATTATTTTTCATTGCGTTCGGTTAACCCCAGTAAAATTTTGCGCTTAATATTTTAGTGGAAATTTTAACCATCCATAATCCATTTTTTATACAGTGGGCCAAAAAGGCCCGTTCTGGTGGGAGTTGATAAGTTAAACTGTTGGAAAAAAATATACCACCCTTGTTTTGGATCTAAAACCCGCAAAAAATCGTAAGAACTCTGTAATATAACATAACGGTAGATAAGATTATTACTAAAATTTACTTAACTTTAAATTTTTTTTATTTCTTTAAATTTAAATAGTACATAAGGATCTGTATACAACATAGAGAACCATGTATGTGTGTATGTATGTATGTTCCTCAGACCTTCTTCTGTTCGCCCATCCATCAGCGCCAGGCACTCAAGTAGGAATTAAGAATATTTAAATTTAAAACTAATTCAAGAACTAATTAAGTAGTATTATCCGAATTGGCATGGCGAATGCCTAACGTTGATGAGGTGACATGATAAGATCAGTAGCCTCATGGCTCTTTGGAATCAACCTTATGACCACGCCGCGCAGTGCTTCGACTATATGGAGGCAGGTGGAAATAATAGTTAACCTGCACCGCTAAAACTTTACATGCGCTCAATTTTTTACTTAGAAATAAGGAATTATGAAATGTGGTAAAGATGGGATAATTGCCACGCCCTCCACTCTAATGGGCGGTAACATTAAATTCCATCGGTAATCCTTACTAATATTATAAATCCGTAAGTGAGTTTGTTTGTTTGCTACGCTTTCACTCTTTAACTACTCAACCGATCATCATGAACTTTTGTACACTGCTGTTATTTAGCCCCACTTAAAATATAGGATAAATTTAATCTCGATTAGACAAGGGGGCGTGGCACCTCCCATACAAACGGAATATTTCATACTGCATTTCTCGGGAAATATTTTTGATAGATTACTGGACCTTGGTATGGAGAAGAGCTGCCACCTTTTAAAAAAAATCAAATTCAACTGTAATTTAGAGAGTTATTTATTTGAAATTTGTATTAAACAAGTAATTTTTAGCAAAAAAAACCGACTTCACCTCTCATATAAAAATATATATATATATATATATATATATCTCATGATCCACTGATCGGATCTTAGCCAGATCAGTATGGGACCACCTCTGAGACACTACCTTTTCGATGCAAAAAAAATTATCGAAATCGGTTATGCAGTAACATACATAAAAAAAAAAAATAAAATATTCCGACGAACTGATAACCTCCTCCTTGTTTGGAAGTTGGTTAAAAATGGATGTCACGAGGCTTAAAAAGCTGTAGTTCGAATATATTTTGAAAAGGGTTGCCACCTATTTGAAAAGTCAAATTTAAATTAATTATACGCAAGCTATCTCAAGAATCAAAATATGGTTGTCTAACCAAATACATACTGTTAAGAAACCTTTAGTTTAAAAGTTTTGAATAAGATTTAAATCTTTCGCAAGGGCTGCCACCTTTTTAAAAATTAAATTCAAAAATTAAATATTACAGTAAAAGGCGCTCAATGGTTCTGCCGGTTGATTTCTCGATGGTGATTTCAGATTTTTCTCCATGACTATAAGATTGATTTGATATATTGGTGTACCAAGTTCCGGTATTCTACCATGAACACTTCCAGAGATATACAGTAAGAAAAATCGGCTTGTATAGGAGGTGCCACGCCTTTATATGTCGAAATTTTTTCAGCCTATAACCATCCTTGGGACGTCTGAAGTAGGTGTCCCGAAATTAATGGGCTTCATTTCAAAACTACACGTAAGAGGTTTCCACCTGTTTAAAATCTCAAATTGAGTTCAGGGGATAAGTTAATTGAAAAAGTATGACAAGTGAGAAGTTTAAGAAAGTTTTTGTTTGAAAATATTTTGAAACAAATTTTAAACCTTCTGTTTTTTAATTGAGTCTTCTTGAAATAAATTTTACTCAATGTATCACGTAGAAATTACACTCAGCGAAGCGGGTGAGGGCGATCTAGTCACTTATATTTTTAATAATAATCTTTAGCATCTACATTTTCTTGTAAATTTTTTTATAAAAAAAGCAAAATACCAAATAATAGATACCTTCACCTGAATATTCCATGACACGAAACAATTGATAACAGTTGAAAAAGAAACGCTTGCTTTAATGGGTTCAGCGCCAAAGACAACTAAACTGATTAGTTTAGTCGGTATCGCGCCGATTCCTGTACATTTTTTTTGGAAATGTGTCGTTCGTAGAGAGGGGAAATGAGTAAATGATGTGAAATTTTGTTTTTATGACTTTAACTTTTCCTTCTCTATACCGAACCGTTTCTTTCATCAACTGTCACTATGACTTTTTTCACCTGCCTCCATATAGTCGATACACTGTGCACCGCCGCCGCAAAGCCTGTCTGGGTAAACCTCTAATTAACATAACGGTTGTTTAAAACAGCTTAAAGGAATCGAGATAGATATAGACATACACTGATGGCAAAACCGGGACAGTAATACATAATATGAATTTTCCTGCGATATATTCGCAATATATGAAGACTTTTGTAATCTAGTTTCGGATTTCACATTTCCAATGTTTATTCCATCAGAAAGCCATAAAAACAATAATTAATACAAGCAGATAAAAAAGAAAATTGTAAAAAAAGTAGCAACCAGTTTTGCACCCGATAGAAAATTTTACCATTTGTTTGACTTAATAAATTGGCCAGAACTAATTTTAATATTTACCTTTTATGGCCATATTGGGATACTTTTGCACAGTTTTTGATGAAATCCGCTGAGATTGCGTACCGGGTTTCCCCAACGCCATGCCCAAGGTCTTGCATGCGATTGGATGAATTTTCGCAATTGAACAGTGGCATTTTCACACAATTCCTTAAGTTTTCTGTCGGACTCAAATATGGGATTTACGCAGGGTGATTATAAAAACTTGGGATTTATATATATTTGGTCGAAACCGGAAGTCGGTAATACCACTCCCGGATTTAGTAGGTAAAATTTTTGCGGGTTTTCAATATAAAACATTTCCTCCATTTTAAAGGGGATGTACGTGTGGTCTAGGACACCCTGTATATATCAAAATACTCAGAACGAAAAGAGAAATCGATTAAACCATGTCTGTCTGTCCGTTCGTGCCTCGGCCCGTCTGTGCACTCGAGGAAAAACTGCGATATGTTAACGAAACTTGGTGCGTGTATTGAAAATGGGTAAAATAGCGCGATAACCACGCCTACCTCTCATATAAAGGTAGTTTGCAGAAATACAAAATTGCGATATTTTAGTAACTACTTAACTTGGGGGAAATATGAATTTTATACTTTTTTGGAAAGGAAAATGGCCGTAGCCACTCCCACTTATGGTTACATTTATATATCTCGGTAACCGCTCTACCAATTTCTACCAAACCTGGCGCAGTTGTTGACCTTGGCAAAATATAACGGTTGGAAATTTTTTAAATCGCATTTTTTAAAGCTAATTTACTCAAAGTGGACGTTTGGAATATTTCTTTAGCAGAAAATACGATTATAATATTTTTTTTTTTTAATGGGCGTGACTCACCCACTTATGACCACATACATACATATGTGGATCCCGGTAACCGTTCAATTGGTATCACACTAGATACAATTATTGGACAATTGGTACCATACTAGATACAATTATTGTACTTGACACAGAAAAGCAATATATACGATTTTTTTAAATGGGACTAAAATTACGCCCACTTTTCATATAACGGTAAATTTTAGAAATGCGGAAACTTCGAAATTTAAGGACGCTAATTTACTCAAATAACATTTTTATGGAATTTTGGAAAACAGGCGGTGTACCGCCAACTTATGTATAACTATATAAGTTATAAGGGCCTAGGTTCAAGCCTGATCAAAGCGAAATCGCAAAACAAAATAGAAAAAAAATTTTCTTAACAGCGATCGCCCCTCGGCAGGCAAAGGCAAACCTCCGAGTGTATTTTTGCTATTTTACAGCTTCTCATAAAAATGCAATCGCCGTTCGGAGTCGGCGTAAAACTGTCCCTTTTGTGTGACAACATCAAGGCGTACGCCACAAATCGGAGGAGAAGCTCGGCCAAACACTAACATATGTGTAAGTCTAACTGCCCGTAATATCGAAAATGTTTGAAATAGGGGTAAAGGCCCCCTGCTTATAAGACAACACAATTCGCCATACACCATACAGACTTTAAAACCAATTTCACATTTTAAAGAATTTCAACAGAAATTGCTTAGTTTTCTCCATTTTTCTCCGCGCACGTCTACACACCATAAAAATTAATCAAGTGTAACGAAATTTCACCACCCATAACACACACGGTTTGTGCATCGGCAACCAAAATTAACATATTTGGATTTTACACAGACGTCTGTGCAGACAAAACGGCGAGCATAGACTTTTTTACTTGCATAATTTTTTCCCTTTGAAAATTTAAACTAAACTTAAAATGAGAATATCTTGGAGAAAATTACCTTATATATAAAAACGGTATCCAGATTCATAATCTACGATCCAAAATTAAGTTTTCGAGTCTCCGGGTTTTTTGTGTATGTAATTTTAGCATTATTATACTATATTTAGTTCTAATACTTGGGTTTTTACTTAAAGCGGAATTTTTTTTTAGTAAACCTTGGCGACTTCAGTAACTACTATTGCTTTTAAAAACTGTCTCTTTTATCTTTATAGAAAATTTAAACTTCACAAGAAATCGTGCAATTATCCAAATGAAACCCCGCTGCCTGCAGTATCTATTCTAAAACCACTCATGGGAACTGACCCAAATTTGGAGCATAATCTTGAGTCATTTTTTAAAATGGATTACCCAATGGTATGTTTCAAATACAGCATGTATCGCAAATGAAAGTGTAATATTTTTCATCTTTTAGTATGAGTTGTTATTTTGTATAGAAGATAGCGTTGACCCAGCTATTAATATTGTACAAAGTTTAATGACGAAATATCCTCAAGTGGACGCCTCATTGTACATGGGTGGTTCGAAGGTTGGTATTAATCCAAAAATTAATAATATGCAGCCTGGTTATGCAGCTGCTAAATATGAGCTGATTATGATATCGGATAGCGGCATTAAAAGTAATTTACCTATAATATTAAAAACCACGCATATAGACATCGAGTTGTCTTATTTTTGTTTCAGTGAAGAATGATACTCTCCTTGATATGGTAAATAATATGACAGACAAGTATGCGCTTGTACATCAAATGCCGTTTACATGCGACCGCGAAGGCTTTGCTGCTACTTTTGAAAAGGTAAACCACATTTTAATCTAGTTACATCTTATATTTTCGATGCCAAGTTGTGATTAGCTTTAGTTCGTTGGTCTGACCATTTATTCAATGGTGATAAATGAAATAAACTCGCCGTTAATACGCATTGCATACCCTTAGGCGCAAAACTTTTCTTCCTACTAAATTATGTCGCTTTGCGCAAATGCACGGTAGTAAAGAGTTAATTAAAAAAACGGAGGTAAAATATTTTAATATATCAAAAAGTAGAAAATAATTTTTTATAGACTCATAGAATTTGTCTTGATAAGTTTTATTTTAAATTTTAACAATAGTAAATGCGAACAATTTGAGGAGATTTAATATGAACAACGTTGGGCGCATGTAATAGACTTAAATGGATATATAAAGTGATGAAATCAACCGCTTAAAATGGATCTCAAAATAGCTTGCGCAATAGAAATTTTAGGTCTAAGCCAGAGGCAGGCATTTTTTGATTTTCCAAACACATGTAATTGGGCTTCAAAATGCTGCTTGCTGCGACGTCGACACATGTATACTATCATCGCCTTCGTGTGTCTTACGATAATTGACGATTGACTGATGCTTCGCTGGTATTTCGGCAAAGCAAATCAAATCAGTTGCTGTTGAGAGTGTTCGGACGCCAAAAAGTTTTCTTAGTGGTATATAAGCAGAAAAATTGTGGTACATTCCAAAACAATGTGGTAGATTAAAATAAATAAATGTTTAAATATTTTATATGTACTTATGGTCAGCTGATTAAGTTAAGTGACATGTTGACCAGCTTTGGCTATTTACATTTTTTGTTTATTTATTGTTTATCTCTTTTTTGCTGACGGTGCTAGTCATTTTCTTCCATATAAAAGAAAATGCCAATCATTGAAAATTAACACGATTTCTTAGCGCTCGAAATTTGCACTTTGAGCTACTAAATTTTAATGGGCTATAAAACTGCATACGTAAAACTTTTCTAGAAATTCTAAATAAAAAGCCAAAGCGACAGAATAAGATGCATTTTTTTAGAAATGATCTATCATTTTTTGATAGAGAATCATTTTATGATAGATATTGATAATTTTCGGCCGCTGTGGTGTAGTGGTAAGCAGTGCGCGCTTCCACTCCGCAGCACCTGGGTTCAGACCCTGGTCAAAGCAACATCGCAAAAAAAATAAAAAAAAAGGTTTTTTCTTAACAGCGGTCGTCCCTCGGCAGGCAATGGCAAACCTCCGAGTGTTTTTCTGCCATGAAAAACAGCTTCTCATAAAAATAAAATCGCCGTACGGAGTCGGCGTAAAACTGTAGGTGCCTCCGCTTTGTGTGACAACATCGAGGCGCACGCCACAAGTCGGAGGAGAAGCTCGGCCAAACACTAACATATGGGTGTTTCCAGCGGAAGGTCCACCACGACAAAAAAAATAAAAGTTTTATATCTAACGTATTTACGGGCCGATTTGTCTGCTTTTTAAAATATATACTGGCTATGTAAGTAGAATCATCTTTGCATAAAATGGTCTTCCTAGGTGGTGCCAAGGTCGAGATATTTCGAAAAACCGTATTTATGGTCTAATTTGGTTCGAATTTGGCGTATGTGGTTGAAACATAATAAATCATAGATTTCTAATAAATTGACCCTGAATTGGCGCTGAAGTCAAAATATAAAGTATATTCTACATAAAATACATGTTTTATTTGCGTTAAAAATTCATTTAAAAGCAATATTAACAAAAATATAACGATGGAAATTTATGTCACGTGACGCCACGTCACGTCACGTTTCACACTTGGGGTTGTAAAAGAGAATTGAAACAATTTGCATTAATTCAAAAAACTCTAAAAACAACTAGAATTGCTCCAAATCATATTAAAATAAGTTTCATGAAAATAGCCATCCACAATTCGCAGAGTTTTGCGATTTTGTAAGAAAAGAAAAAATCAACTTCCATTTTTTGTCACGTAACGACACTCTCTTTAAATGCTTATATTTCAGGACCAAGCAGTTCGATTGATTTCATTTTTCGGTTAAATATAGAGCTAATTATGTGCTATACAATGGCCCAAAAAAGTTAAAGAAAACAAATGGTATTCCTTTTTTGTATCACATTGAAATCGTACGACTGCCACGTGCGCCACCATGTGAATGCCCATATGTGTAATTTTCGTGCTGATGTATATTACTTTCACCAACCCTAAATTGAATGAAGAACGCTGCTTTTTTTCGAAAAGCTTCTTCGCTCACCCTCTTTCACCTTTTCAAAACGACTATGACACAGTTTGTAATGTCTTTTTAAACAAGACATAACATTGTGACTCATAACGCGAAAGCAAATCGCGCATTGCGCACACTCATCCATGTTTTCTATGCAAGAAAAATGTATTTGAATAGTTTCGCAAGGAAGTCTCAGCAGCAACTGATTTGATTTGCTTTGCCGAAGTGCTAGCAAAGCATCAGTCAATCGTCAATTATCGTAAGACGCACGAAGACGATCTTATCCAGTGTTGCCGCGAAGCTTTTTTAGTGGTAGCCAAATTCCTTTATAAAAGGGCTAAAAAAGAGCTAAAAAAAGTCGTTGTGGCTAAAAATGGTAGCTAAAATTTTTTACTTACATATACATATATAAGTATACACGCAAACATTTTAAATAAGCAATGGTATAGAAAAACAATGAACACTGGGTAAAAAGCTAAACCTTTTTGTATAAAAGGGGAAATATACGACACCAACTTGCTGGCTCCATCAAGTGATTGTACCATCAGGCTCGAAGCAATAACTTACCAGCATGGTGGTACAATATTTATTTATTTACAAATGAGGTCGAAGAAAGATCGAAATGATTAGAGCCGAAATTTCACAAATTTTCTACCATTTTGTTAAACATTGTTTTTTTGTTTTAATTCACAACTGCAATATCGCGAACTTAATCTTCCACAAACACGGCTTTGACTGATATAGTGCAGGAAATTTCCGCTCAAATACTCTTTACTTAGAAAATTTAGCTAATTTCACCACTAACGACACCAGCATGCTGGTACGATCATAAAATTTTCAAATACTTTTTGAAGTCGCACCAGCAGCTGGTACAATCACACCACAAAAACATACACGGTCAATCGACATGATGGGCCATTTAACAAATTAAGCATATTAAGGAACTATATTGCAGTATGTATGTATAAAAACGTAAGGAACATACAATATATATATGTATATTTCTTAGTTTAAAAATTCATCTCCTCTTTTTTTTTGGTTGTTTGTGTTTCCGACAGGGTAGGAGTATGATGTATTGTTGTCGAACGAAAAATGACACTGAAGATGGCACAACGCCGAAACCGGTTTGTCTCCAAACCAAATTTGATAAGGGATGACGGAAAATCGTTCCACAATACATCAATTCATCTCCTACTTAAATGAGAAAAATGAAACCAAATTAAGCATATACAACTTTTTCACGACATGTATGAATAAATTCTTTTAAGGGCTAAAAAAGGGCTAGGGGCAATTTTAAATTTACGTGGCCACAAAAAGTATGTGGTAGCTAAATCTAGCCACCAAAGTGCTAAAACGGCAACACTGATCATATCATCAATGTGTCGACGTCGCAGCAAGCAATGTTGTTTTTTGTTGTAGAAAATACCCATTCATTAATGCGCAAATGAACAAATTAAAAAAAGAAGTTTCAAGATCTGAAAGTTTTTTAGCTTACGGTGGTAGAAGTAGTAGAAATGTAATTTAGCAAAAAAAAGTGTTATCTATTCCACAAACGTGGGAACATCCGAGCACTGGCTGTTGAGCAAAACTTCGCTGCTTCGCACACAAGCGCATGTATGAGATAGTGAGTGCCCACCTCTGGTCTAAGCACACGATATAAAATTTCATTGCACGGTATAGAGTTTAAATCTTGAATAAAAGAAATCATATCATAGTCTGGTCTATTCTTCGCTGTAAATTTTTTAAACCCTTTTCCCATTCCGCGCAGACTCGATACCGGAAAATTTTGTTACCCTCTTATAAGCTGATAAGTTAATAAGATAGGAAAATAACGACATAGTAAGATTGTGTATTAAAAAGTTATTTCTTTGACTTATTTTCTACTTTTGAACGATATTCTGGTTTTGTATTATATGAAACAGACATTTTATTTATTGTCTCTTTCAACATACATATGATGTTGCGGCGAATTGCGTGTGAAACTCGTCTTTGTTCCAAATTAAAAGCGTTTGATAAACATTAAATTCAATTGTCTTTATTCACTAACAATAGCGCTAAATTTGTACAATAATTATTGCGGGTAAAGCGTTAGATAAAAACTACGAAATATTAAGCGGGTGAACTTCGCGGAGATTGCGGAAAAACGATGCTTAGCGAGCGGGTATTAACAACGAGTGAGTATAAATGTGCAAAAATGTACAAAACAAGAAGGGCATAACAAAAAGAACGTCAAAGTCGTTAACCCGTATGCGCTTACATTGCTGACATTAACCATTATGTGATCATACACTAATAAACTTAAGAAAATGCATACATGAACTCAACATACCGCCGCGCTTGAACTACCTTGATACGTTCAATATAAAAGTTACAAATGCATAAACAATTTAATACTGGCAAAATTTCAAATGAAAATTATAGATAAGTTGCTATATACTAGACTTCTTCATGAAATATATCTCCTTTCGTTGGTAAGAGGCAGAGCTTAACTATGGGCCGAACTAGTTCGCCTTGCGGTGTCTTCAACGTAACCACTCTTACGCGCCCATCAGCACCAGGATGGCATTTAGTAACTCTTGCCAGCGTCCACTTCGTCGGAGGAGTAGGCTCGTTGCAGACCGCAACCACATCACCTTCTACGATGTTGCGCGAAGAACGAAACCACTTGGTGCGACGCTGTAGACTGACGAGATACTCGTCTCTCCAACGCCGCCAGAAATGTCGCCTCATGGCAGAAATAGTTTGCCACCGCTGACGAAGATTTCCACAGAACCCTTGACCCTCAGGTTCTGGGATT